CCCCCAATATATGCAAGTCACTTCTCGGATAGATATAGTTGATTAGGCTATATCCATCCCAGACTTGACCACATATCCCAAGGCATACTCGTAATTCACAACTCCTCCTTTTATTTTATGTTCTTCCTAGTTATGACACTACTCGAGCATGTATGCATGTACTTATACTTTTACCAAGAGACAGTTTATTTTCTAAAAGTATAGTCATTTGGAAGTGTTTAACCAGTGACTTTTAGTCCTAAATGCATTTATAGTTTGTATATCTTATGTGGTTCGATATACTTAGTTCACTATAAACATTGCTCTGATACCAATCTATCACACCCCCAAACCAATGATGGTGGAAACGTCCGGGGGTGGAGGACTTCATGTATAGTATCATGACAAAAAGTATAATAATGCTCAAAGTACAAACAACCAACATAAATATAATTGAAAAAGTTACATCATAGTATAGGTTTACATGTTTCTAAATCAATTACATTATGTTGACAAAAATACAATGTTTGACGCCTTAGCGTTCCATCCTCAAAAGCCGCCATTTACCTGTTTTATGGATTCCCTAAGAATACAAATAATTTTGAAAAAGTGTCAACAATTAAGTTGGTGAGTTCATAAGCTTTTAGAATGAAACAATGAAATCCTTTCCTGTATAAGTAGTGTTTGTTCCAGAAAATCCCATATTTTCTCTCTAAAATGTATTGTAGTCTAAAATGCCAAGACTAATAGTATGCTAGTATTTTCCCATTTGAAATTTGAATCATGCAAGTTTAAATCAGCATAAACTTGGTAGTTTAAAAGGAAATCCCATAAATCTTATGTTTGTTAATACCTCATGTGAGTTATTATAACCATACTATGACATAGTTGGCCTTATATACGACGTTCTTCAGACGTCGGAATGTTAATGACATTTGTTACCCCAGACCTACCAGTCTAGTTGTTGCATGCAGCTAAGGTGTGGGTTTGTCAAACCCAATATGGATATATATATATATATATATATATATATATATATATATATATATATATATATATATATATATATATACAACTATGACATTCTCCCTACAAGATATTATGGTTATAGTTAAAGGACTTTTGTTGCGCTACTTGGAAGTAACGTGAATCGAACGTCTCACAAATTTATTAATCAACATATTTACGTAGTGTAATAATGAAAAACCCTTTTGTAGTAATGTATTCTTTTGTATTGTATATGTAACATAAACTATACCTATTATAGTTTATCCAAATGTTTGTAATGTGTACTATTCACTTTCTATGTGAGTAGAATGTATATAGCAAAACGATTCTATGTTTTCCATGCTTCATAATGCATTAATTGTAATGATAAAGAATTCTTACAATTTTGTGAACATTTTTCTGTAACATAAATGTATCCAAACAGAAAACTAATGCAAAATATGAAGACATCAAGGTTTTACACTTTGCTCAACAAGTTACAAAGTGTTAATAAAGTTGTAATCTGTGAACTTGTTTTTATCATTTCTGCACTGATTTAGAAAAATCACAGAAAATTCATACAAGATCAAAAACTAGATCCATAAACTCTAAGAGTTTAGAAAATGTGTTTAGTTTATTTAAATTTTTTATTATCATTTTTAGAAGTCCTTAACTGGTGTGAAAATGTTCATATTCACAGACTAGTCCAAATTCATAGCTACAGTGATAGGCAGTTTTGTAAAAATCACCATAAATTGTAGAAAAATCGCATGGACATGTGCAAGTAGTCATTTTAAAGGTATAAACCTGAAATATTTTCACATAGTACATTTTTGAAAAATAAAAAGTTTAAGGTGCTCAAAACAGTTCGTGAATGAACATTAAGTTTTCTGTTGAAAGCTGTTGTTTGAGTTTAGTTATGTTGTTGGTGATTTAACTTGTATTCTCCCCCTAAAACTTGAAGAAAACATGAAAATGCGGGGGTATGAACTCACCTTGAGTGATTTCAGTAGATGGATGATGAAGAAAAGAAGAGTTCAACTCAAGAACACTTAGAAGATTGCTTGAAGATTTAAGGATCTAGCACAATTATGATGAAGTTTGTGTAAGAAACATATGATTGGAGTAGAAAGAGATGGAATAATCATGTGTAGGATGATTTTACTTACCAAAAGTAGATGAAGACTTGAAAATCAGCCTTGAAATCTCGAAATCTTAGAGAGAGAAGTGAGAGAGAATGGAGTTTGTTCTTTGGTGGAGAAGGAGTGAAATGGGAAGAGAGATAAGGATTTCCAGCTTTTTGTTCAAGAGTATGGCTGGAATAATTGTGGGAAAAAGGACGATGATTGACAAGGTATGGGGGAATAGTGGCTGTGTATGGCCCTGGAGTGAGTGTGGGAGGTTGCTTGTGTTCTTGTACAAAGGATAAGTCAACACTCCACCAAAATAACTTACCCACCATATTTTATTCTTAAATAAAGATTTCTATAAAAATGTGTTTAGATTATGGAAATATGGGGTATTATATGTTAAAATGTAAGTTTGGGTGAAAATCTCGCGTTAAAATCACGAAAAATGGGCTTAAAATTCGAAAATGGTCAAAAACTGGCGAAAATTCGAAGTCTGGGTCGGAGGTTCGGTCCCTGGTGCATAGAACCGAGAGTGGCAAGGAGCCAACAGGGTGGTTCGGTTGTTGGAGAAGAACCGAGAGAGAGGATCGGTTGGACAGATTCGCAGACGAGGAGGGGAAGCGAAGGCGAAGTTCGCAAGGGAAAGAAAGCGAAATAGACCGAAGGCTCGATTCATTTTGGCTGTTGATAGCTTTGGTTCTGAGAACGCTCGGTTCTGACATGCTCGGTTCCAAGGGTTTCGGCTCCTTAGGGAGGTTTCGGCACATTAGGGTCTCGCCTCTTAGGGAGGTTTCGACACCTTAGGGTCTCGCCTCTTAGGTACGTTTCAGCTCCTTAGGGTCTCACCTCTTAGGGCGGTTCGGTCCTAAGAGGGTTCGACTCTAGGAGGATGTTTTTCGCGTTAACTCTCCGTTTTGCGTAGTTTTTGGCTAAGTTAAGGGTCGGGGTGACTCAGATGACTATAAAAAGTTGAGAGAGATTTTGAGAGAGATTTAGGAGATATTTCACATACATGGAAAGATTTGGGAGAGATTTCACATACTTGGAGAGACATGGGAGAGAAAGAGATATAGACACGGAGAGATTTCACATACTTAGAGAGATTTCACATACTTCGAGAGATTTGGGAGAGAGAGAGATAGACAGGGAGAGATTTCACATACTTGGAGAGATTTAGGAGAGATTTCATATACTTGGAGAGATTTTGGGGGAGAGAGAGATAGACCGGGAGAGATTGAGAGAGACTTTGTTTGTGACCTTTTTGGATGTTTAGCTTCGCAATGCAAGGTTCGTACACCCCGTTAAGCTTCGTTATGATAGTTAGATGCCCCCGAAGGGTATAGAATAATGTTTTATCGAATAGTTTCATCACTTACCCCTATTAGGGTTTAGAATTTCTGAACGAATTAACTTTCCAAGTGATTACTTCTTATTACAAATAGTGAGTTGTTCAATATTAACATAGTGTAAACCCTAATATACAGGGGTTGGATGAGCTGACTGGTTTGACCGGTTGACTTTGGTTGACTTTGACTTGATCGGAAATTGATGGTTGTCACAAGTATGTACAAGGACATTTGGGGATAGGAATTGTTCTTGATGAAGGAACAAGTCTTCTAACAGATCGAACATTGGTAGACCTACCCACTCCTGAACCAGATGGATTTACCCTTTCTCCCCTTTTTGACACTTGTTTCATAGCAACATGTGGAGCATTCGTGGGTAGTTGAACAACCAAATCAACAATTGGTGCAAGTTGAGTTGTAAGGCTTTATTAAACTAAAGAAAAAGCCTTCGAAATATGATCTTGAAGTATTATTTTTTTCTCCAAAGCAACAAACTCCGACTTGAAATCAGCAAGTACATTCAACAACTCTTCTTCCTTCTTGGATAAACCTTATTTGTATTCAACATTAAAGGCGCATATATCTTCTAGTAGAGTTTTCACCACATAAATAAGTTTATTAACTATGGATCGAGCACTAGAAGAAATTTTATTAAAAACTTTAATGTCTTTATCCATTTGATCACCAAAACCCTTCATCTTTGATTCAAAGGCCTTCAATATATCTTCTTTAGAACCATTAAGTTTTATAAGAAGATTGGAATGACATTATTTAGCTACAGTCTTTTCGTCATCATACTTGTGGTTAAAAAATATGATAACATCGTGAAGCCTGCCACTAATATCAATAGTTGTAGTTTGGAGAAACTTCTTAACCTTGACTTCATGAACTTTCACTATTTCTTAGATAGACTCTTTAGTAGAGAAAGGTGAAGGATTAAATGCTAGTGAAGGCCCACAAACAAACTTTAAAATCATATTAAGCTTAGAGTTCAAAACTTTGTATTGATGACCAGGCATAATGGCATCATCTTCAACATTCTCATCGTATGTATTAAACAGGATAGGGCCAAAATCAAAGTAATCATCATTTTCATCAGCTATTTGATTCATATTTTTTAATGCAACCACGTCATCATTTGATGGATCTGTAGATTGAGAAGAAAATATTGTATCGTGTAATGGGTTTTGTAATATACCAACAAATGTGGGTGACATATATAGGATAATGGTAGTTGGAATCAACAAAACTTGTGGAGGTGACTTTGGTAATGAAGAAGAAATAGGAGTTTTGAAATTTGATGGAATAGGAGTTTCGATGTTTAGAAGTGATATTGGAAATGGTGATTTGATGCTTGGTATTTCACCAGTGTTTACATTTGATTCCACATTACATACGTTCTTAGGGATATCCAGATACGTGTCGCCTCCTCTTTGGATTCGACATTGGTAACCTTTCATGGTGAAATAGGTTTTGATACAGGAGGTTCAGAAACAGATGGAAAAGAAAGTAATGGAACAAGTGGAGTCAAAATAGTTACCTCTGTAGCATCCTCATATCAAAATGCTGAAGGAGCTTCTCCATGCGTTGAATGAATTTCTAGATCAATCTCTATTTCCTCATCAACATTATCAACTTCTGGATCAGTAACCATCTTTGTAAGATGTCTCTTTAGTGGTTTGTACTTCAAATTCTTCAACGAGAAGGTTTTTAACGTACCAAACGTTTTCTTCTTTAATGGAGGTTCATCATCCACATGCTCTCTAATTCCCACACCCTTCGATCTTTTCTTTGTCAGAGACGTAGGAACATGGTCATCGTCAATATTTTCTTTTGCACTTCCTTCGAAATATCTGCTTCCTCCTTTATTTCATGACAAATAGGATAGAGAATTGTAAGTGAAGCTTGATAGTTCTGCAAGACTGAATTTAACCTAGATATGACCTACATCATTGATTCAGGTATTTGACCAATATAAGGAAACTCATTCAATTGTTCCAACATCACCTTAGGGATTTGAAGGGAATAAAATAAGACTAGTTCTGCATCCTCAGGAACCGCAATCACAGCGTGTTAATAAGTCTTACTAACAAACAAAATTCAAAATCTAGCACTCACAATCTTAGTTGCCTTCTTTGTATGATTAACATATGTAGTAAATTCCTCCTATAAAATCGAAGCATAATCCACTTTAACATTGTAGTAAACTCCATATAGAACAATATAAAAACTATGTTTTTCTTTATCGGGTCCCGAATTTCTGCCTATAAGACAATGTAAAATGATTCCAAAGAAATAATTCCATAAGAATGGGTTATTCGAATTCTTGAAATCATAAATCATCTTGATGTAGGGAGTATAGCCATTTCATTTAACACTTGAAGTACAACATCAATTATTGGAGTTTCAAACTGATCATCAAAATCAAGTTTATGTATTTGAGAAAAATTCTTCTTTGTAAGATTCTTCTTCCCTTTTTGCTCAATTTCAGTTGTGATAATATCATGCGATTTATTATAAACAGCAGATGAACAATCTTTTGAAATCCATTTCAATGGAATTGATGTTGTTGTAAGAGCATAGTGAAGAACATAATAATTCAAACACTAAATTAGAATATGAAGATATTCAAGATACTGATAACATCCGGATTGAAAAGCAAGTTTTTAGATTGAATGTTCATTTTTCGAACAATGGTTTCTTCTTTAATAATTAACATCGTATCAACATGAGCCATTTTGAAGGATTTGATGAAGAACAACAAAATTTAGTAATGAAACTGTGAATTAGGGTTCTTTATAGAGAAATCGCCAAAGTGATTCAAAGTTTTGAAAAGAACCAACGGTTGCCCTTTTTAATCATCCGACTGAATCATCATTTTTAAAAAGTGAACCGTTGACGAATGAGCAAATACCATGTGGAAAGCTAAATGTAAAATTTCGTCCGTCGTTATCTGAAATGTGTATAAGCTACTCATTGAGCAAATTTGGAATAGTCATTTTCTCCTGGAATATTTGTCACGACGAATGATAAGATTTAGGTGTTTTTTGATTTTCTGAAGCAAAAATTCATGAAGTTTGCGGACCACCTCTGCAACTCTCTGCAGTAGAAGAGGTAGACCAAACGGCTGCAGACTGTAATAAGAAGCGTGTTTGTTTTTTTAACATCTGCATACTGCTGTATATATTAAAAAATTAAAATAAACTAAATTTATAAATCAAAAATAGTTTTTTTTAATACGGAAAATTTAATAATGTATAACATTTCGGCAAGAATTAATGATAATTCAGTAAAAAATAATGATATTTCAACAAAAAAAATAATGATATTTCATAAAAAAATTATCATTATTCAATATAAAAAAAACGAAAAAAAAGTGAAATAAAATTTCAACAACATATAATAAAATCTCCAGCAAGAAAAAAGAAGAAGAAGAAGAGGCTGGAAGAGGTTGGAAGTGGCAGTACAAGTGCTGCGCCAAACAGAGCACGCGCATAGGTTTTTGACTCTGAAGACTTCTAAAAAACAAATAGTTGCGAGATAAAAAGTGTTGCATGTGTGCTGCGCCGCGCAGCAATAAGAGGTCTGAAGAGATTTTTTTCAAAAAACAAACAATACCTTAATGTATACAAATGCTTGTGTTGAATAAAATGAGATATCGAAACTGCATGAGAAAAATATCGTAGAGTAAGGTATATCAGAAATCTTATTAAGATATTGAAAGATGTTTCATATTGAAAACATTACTGGATTTTTGACTTTTTATAAAATGCAGAAATAAAGAATTTTTTTTGATATTTTTAAATTTTATAAAAGACAAAAATAAAAAAAATATTTTTAGCTTTTTCTACATTATAAAAGAAAGAAATAAAGAAAATCTTTTTGTCCTTTTTGACATTTATACAAGACATAAATAAAGAAAATCTTTTTGGCTATTTCAATATTTGGGTTAACAAAAATGTAAAGACCATTGTTCAAAGTAATCATCATCAAAAAAAATCAACATATAGTACTTCCAGAAGATGGAACTTTGAATCATTGAAAAGAATTAGATTTAAGCATTTTCGATATGATGAACATTGAGTAATATTTGGAAGTCCATATGTGAAAGAATTCCAGATTTTTAAAAGTGAAGAGAAACATCAAATAAAAAAAATGATTGGTGATTACATAATCCTCCTTGACACAATTTTAAACAAAGTTTACAGATTGAATAGAAATGGTCTAATACACTATGTATTTTGTACTCAAGATGTAATATATTTTATCTTGCATGAGTTGATATTCATTTTTGACCTAATTACTCCCATTTCTTGTTTTCTTCCTTATTTCTCCCTTGATTATTATGGGATTGCCAAAATATTTGAATTTCCTTAAGATTTCCTTGAGAATTCCAGAGTATTCAATAATTTATCTTTTCCATATATCCATACTCACATTCCATGAAACATAATGAGTCGTAACTTTCATAGAAATATCATACATGAGAAACATGAGTTTTATCATCCTCAACCATTCTTGTATAATAATCCTTATGTTTAAGGCAAGAAATTTCTTTACTAAATTTTTTTGATTTAGATCATGACGAGAACAAAATTGTGCACCCTCTGTCTGAAGAAATACTAGAAGAGTTCATATTACTACTAGAAAAACAGCCTTTTATGACCCGCAATGCATGTCAAGAAAGGCCCTGTCATAATGAGAGATGACACGCTTTTGTGCGTCGTCTATTTATGACGCGCATTTATGGCATGCATTTACGACGTACAGTTATGACACGCAACGCGTATCAAGGAAGGCCCTATCATAAAGGAAGACGACACGTATTTGCATGTTGTAACCTTACGACATGCGTGTTTATGAAACGCAATGCGTATCAAGGAAGCCCTTATCGTAAATGAAGTGACACGCATTTGCGTGTTGTAAACTTCAACAACCATTTACGATATGCATTTACGACGCTTCTTTACGATACTCATTTACACATAATACAAAAACATGTAAACAAATATATACCAAAGCACTCAGTTTCATCCAATAACATCATGTCAAAAAATTGTAATACATTGATATTAAATGGATCTAATTGTGCATTGTTATTAAAAGGTTTTCCCTAACTATATAACCTAATACTACATTGCTATTAAGGAACACCTTTTAGATATTGACGATCTTGGAATACTCTCTCTATGGTCCTTGCGTTTTCTTGCATAGTTTCCTTCCATTGGATAGTATTCACATGTACATGGAATGGAATAGAATAATGAAATAAGCAATGGAATGGAATGAGTCATTCCATTCTAATTTCATATGAACTTTACATTATATATTTGTATAAAAAAATTAATTAATCTCACCTTTATACGATAAAGAGGAGCAGTAAACACATTATTAAACATGAAGGAATCATTGTCATCCACTTCCATCCCTTTTGGAATCTAAGAAAAACATCAACAATATGTATCTTTTTTTCATAAAGATAAACACAATAACAACATGACTCATATATGTCTATGGTTTTGGAGTCACAGGGAGTAATGAAAACATATATTTTGCTAATAAAAAATTCCATCTGACACAACCCACAAAATAATCTAATCAGAGAATTGAAGTCTCTAGTAACTTGATAATTCAACAAAAAACTCGATTGGGTGATGAATCTCTAGATCTTCATAGCAAGTTACAGAGGTAATAAGTTTTTACACAAAACTAACAGATTTACCTATGGAGATGATTTCTTTGGTGTTCAACCATCCTTCTCAATATTGGTCTAAGTTGGACCGTTTTACCCTTGGTGCCTAGACATTCAATGTAATCATGTGTGTGTGTATAACTGCACATATATTGTCATTTAGAATAGCACACACAAAAAAGTAACATGAACTACCTTGTGTTACTATCAAAGAAACCAACAATAATGCTTTGATTAGCAACTCCAAGTTTGTGCTCAGCTGAACCTCAAACTTGTTCTTCAACCGATTTAACCTTACACCAACACATTTTTAATAAGCTGAAATGTACTTTTAAAGCAGACATGTTAACCTAAAAGATTCCTAAGTAGTGATGTGAATGTGAGGTGAACATTTCGTTTCTAACCGAAGAACAAGTACCTCTTCCTTCTGACTAATTCTGTGAGCTCTAGCTTATACTTGCAAATCAACCTAACTGCACACATGGACATAAAACCATTAAGCATAAGTGAATAATCAAATTACTATTAAAATAGAATTCTTTTTTATAAGTATATATGTATTTAATTATTGCTTGTGGGTTCCATTCCGTGTCAAAAATGATAACTGTATCACTCCAACGACTCCAACACATATACTATGAAATAAAAAAGGCTATATGGAAAAACAAATGAAATTAAATATATATATATATATATATATATATATATATATAAAATAGAACCAAAATGTTGATTACCTGAGATGGAATATGAAAAATGGAGATCCAGGTTTGTTAAACTGGTCAATTAAGGACCCACGATCACCACCACTAGTATGCACATCTAGGGCAAAGGTACATGTACTGTTTATAATATAAATAATATCACTGTATGTATTAAAAAAATAAATGAAATCAAGTGCACCACATTCTTCACACAGATCATTTCCAGGAATCTCTCCAAGAATACTGGAGACAAAATCTGCTGGATTCATGTCCATGTTATCACCTGTAGATCCCCCCTCGTTATTAATACTCAACACAGTAAAATCATCATCAACTGCTTCACTAATATTGCCCAAATTACTTCTTCCAAAATGTGTCTGTAGATATCACAATCACAATAAATAATATAAGAATATATATGTTGTGATTGTAAATTTGTAATTGTAGCTACACAGATTAATAATAATAGTAAATTATTAATGAAATTTAAAATAGTTTTAACCTGATTCAGGTGGGAGTTCGAGAGAGAGGCAATTACTCCTGTGATCTTGTTCATCCAGTCAATCCTATCAGCTTCATTTTCAGCCTGACCAAATCACATAAATCATTATTTTATCAAAGTTTTGCAAATTCTCCACTTAATGCTTACATGATTTAAGGCTATTTCTTTTTTACTTAATGGGCTTTTTGCATTAAGCCAAAGAACCTGGCTTCATGTATTCAGACACTAACCCTTTACCTATTTGTCTATCTTCTTTTTTCCTCTCACATTAAAATTGATGAATAAAGTCAAATTAATGTGTATTGCGAAACTTGTTTGTTGGAATGCAAGGGTAAAACAGTCATCTAGTCTCAGCTGCAGTGTGCAAGGTTTTAATGGAGAAATTATCCTGAAACATAAACGTAAATCTGAATCTTCAGCATCAAGTTTTATAAAGGAAGTACGAAGAAAAACTGTATGACAACTCAAATTTTCATCATCATGTGATGCTGCCCTTGTATGCCTTGATCTAAACTTCCCAAATACATGACTTTGTTGTTTAGTAGACGCAAGTGAATTTGATGATTGTTAAGCCTACACAACAAGATTCAACATAAAGATCATATAATTTATAAATTTATATAAAAATACCAAAAATATAACTCATGAAATAAATTTATTCTGATAGAAAAGTCATTTTGAAGTCAAGGCAACCCAATACAACAAACTTACGAATAAGAGTAAAGTAGCACTACATACCTGGCTTGTTTTGCACATGAATCTTGAAAGAACTAATACTTCCTCAAAAGCAATTGATTTGTCTATCTTCCCATCAAATATTCCCTCAAGCCTCTATCCAACCAAAAGAGCAGCTTAGTTATCCACTAGCTTCTTGATACTAAAAGAAAACATTATAAAAAAATGGCCATTGATCATACCTTGAGTTGAATAACAAGAATGTTAGGTGCTTGCACAATAGACATCTTTTTTCTTGCTGCTACCAACTTTTTACAGCAAGTTTCTATCTCAGACCATCTGCTTTAGTATAATAAATAATACCAAATTCTGCAATTCACAAGTCAAATAAGTCAAGAAAAAAGTTAGCTTCCCCCACCAAAAAATAGCACCTAAAGATGAATGTATTAGGGCTCCTACAATTTAGAGTATGTGAAATATTATTTGTTCCATCCTTACCCATCTTAACACCTCCATCATTACACAACCTAAAAATGAAAGAAATTATTTTCCAGACTCACTCAAACATTTCATCAAACACCTCACGTGATCAGTTCATCTTAAATTAAACTTAAATTGGATACAAATCCCACCAACAAGTAGATAACAGATGAGGGAAGAAGTATTAAGGAAAAAATCACTTATTTGTCTTGTTAGTGTGCATCCTAATCTGTCAAGATGTAGAAAGAATAAAAAAATCAAATTGTAATTACCTTTGATTCTGGAACCAAAGCTTGATGATCAATGAATTGTAACCAAATTCGAATTCAATCATCTTCACCATCTTCCTGGTTCCATGATTGGTTCCAGACTTCTTACAAATCGATTCGGTTCCAAATCTGAAACCAATTTTCAAATCCGGATACATCCATGACTCATTGAAAATCGATTTTAGATGTGGTAAAATGAAACATACACGTTTCTGTGCAGCTAAGGGAGAAGAGAAAATTTGATCATATCAGTATAGCAGTGATGCCTTCTTTCTTGGGTGTTTTAACTTGAGAGACGATGTTTTCATACAACCGCACTGTAATCGGAAACCTAGCTCCCATTTGTCCCAAAGATTCGACATTCCACATTTTAGAACGATAACTCATGGAATTCGCAGAGCTTTATTAGGGCTAACCATGGAAAAGAGAATGGGGGTTAGGAAGCTAGAAATGAAAGAATAGGAGAATAAGCCGGGGTTTTCCAATTTTTGGGGATTTCATTCCCCCCTTAATTTCCACCTTAGCTATTAAAGGGTCGAGAACGCGTGTTCCATTCAAAATTTATAAAACGACATGACTACACAACGAACATTTAATAATAGGCACCCTCCGTGTTTTTTATACACTAGTTTTTGGACGCGCAAAAATGTGTGTCCTGGCTTCTTCAAATTTTAATGGAGATGACATATTTTTTAGCACACCCACTTTAGTGTATCATAAAACTGTGCGTGTCATGAATTGCGTGTCATTAAAGGCTAGTTTTCTTGTAGTTTATTAGTGGATTGATGATGAGAATTAAAGAACCACATGGTACCAAGTTAAGACATCCACCATTAAAGAATATATCAAGATAAAAGAAACCAAAAGCATATCAGTCTTAACCTCATACTTCTATGTGTATAATGAATATTACATGATGTTTCAAGGCTTATCTCAATATCTGATGAACAAAAACCTGTGAGGAGATGATAAAATCAAATTTTTTTGTATTATTAATCCACTTAATTTCATAGTTTGAATCAAAAGATATTTAAACAACATATTGTGAAATTTTTTTGAAAGATGAATATTAAACATTCGATAGGAGAAAATAACAAGGTCGCAAACATCATTTGGTCACACAAAAACAAATAAAAAAAATGAAAATGTAAAATCTTTTTGTTGTTTTCAGTGTGAGACAATTAATAAACCTTGAAATGCATGAAAAAAAATAGAAAAAATTGAAAATTTTCCTAATTAGACAATGTCAAAGCATGTTGAAGCTTCGAGGTATGAACAGTGAGCTCGAATTGAAAAGATTTAAGTTTTGATAAAAATTGACATGAAAAGAATTTTCGATGAGAGAACAATAGTTTCGGTGTGATGAAATTTTAACATAAACATCGAAACGAAGTGGTTCGAAGATTAGATGTTGAACAGTAACTTCGATGTTTGATGCAAAGAATTTGAATAATGAAACATATCGAAAAACTACTGAGTGATACGAAACTTAGCTGGATTTTCAAACATAGCATGCTTCCATCATTCCTAAGACATTTAGAATTCTCGAAAATGATTTCTTATCAAGATATTTGGTAAATATTTCAGCAAATTGATCATTGGTTTGAACAAATTGCACTACAATATCCCCTTCTTCAACTTGGTCTTTGATGAAATGCTATCAAAGAGCAATGAGTTTAGTCTTTGAATGTTGCACTGGATTATGACAAATACAAATAACACTTTGAGAATCACAGAATAAAGGAAAATTTTTTCGTGTTGATTTCATAATCATGTAATCACCTCTGAATTCAAATGATATGTGAAGTGCAGGCAACTTCAACAACAAATTCAATTTCAACTGTTGATATTGGAACACTTGTTTGCCTCATTGATTGGTAGCTCATCAGCTTCCCATCAAGAAATTGACAACCTCCTGTTGTCCTCTTTCAATCCAATCGACATCCTCCTAAGTTAGCATCAAAATAAGCTTGAATGAAGAATTCAATATTTAATGGATACCATATTCCAAGTGTGCGAGTTCAATTTAGATATCGAAAAATGTTCTTGACAACTAGTAGATGTGGTTCCCTTGGATTTTCTTAATACCTTGCATAGTTACAAACAACAAACATAATGTCAAGTCTACTAGAAGTTAAATATAACAAAGAACCAATCATGCTTCAATAATTCTTTATATATAGGGCTAGTTTTTCAAGTGATGGAATTAGCTTGGTTCGAAACTCCATTGGTAGTTTTGTATAAGAACAAGTCTTCATTCCAAAATGTTTAAGAAAATTCTCTGTGTAATATTCCTGATTGATGAAAATTCATTCTTTCCTTTTTTTGGTATTTAACCCCAAGAAAAAAAAATTCCCATCATGTTCTTCTTGAATTTGTTTTTCATCAAATTTAAAAAACCATTCGACAAAGCAGGGCCAGTAAAGCCAAAAATAATGCCATGTATATAAACTTGAACAAGCATAAGATGATCACCTAATTTCTTTCGAAAAAATTTAGGGTTAACAGATCTTTGTTTAAATTTGAAGTTTTTCAAAACTTTTGTCAATGTTTCATACAAGCCCTGGGTGCTTGTTTTAAACCATATACAACTTTATCAAGAATATAACAACGATTAGGAAAATTTTCATTTACAAATCCTGGTGGTTGTTTAGCATAAACAGTTTCTTCTAGTTCACCTTTTAAAAATGCACACTTGACATCCATCTGGTAAACAGTTTCTTCTAGTTCACCTTTTAAAAAATGCATTGAAATTATTGTGAGCAACATAAGCAAGAAAGATTCTAACTAATTGTATTTAAGCAACATGAATAAAGGTTTTCTCATAATCCATACCCACCTATTGCTAATATCCTTTAACCACAAGCCTAGCCTTATTTCAGACTACATTTCCTTATTTATCAACTTTATTTCTAAAAACCCATATAAAGCCTACAAAAAAAACATCGTTAGGTGTAGGAGTTAACCTCCACATTTTGTTTCGTTCAAATTCAACCAATTCGGACTACATTGTTGTAACCCAATCTAGATGTTCTAAGGAAATTTTCATTGTTTTAGGTTCATGTAAGCCATTCATATAATCTTCCATTCTATCAACTCATTGGTCATGTTTAAGAAGCAACATTTGAGTTTTTATCGATGTACCAAGAAGATTTATGTAATTCATCATGGTGTCCGTATTCAAATTTGCCATTTGAATGAAATTTGATTTGAAAGAATCGATTAACAACAAAAGAAAGAACCGTAAATCTCAAACATATCCAAAGAAATATGTTTCAAATGTAGAAATTGGATCTAAGAATGATTTAGATTCAAAAACGAAAAATGAGATAAATTCTCCGAAAAAGTTGAATGATTCCTGCTCTTATACTACTTGATGAGGTATGAAATACATAACAGTATCAAATCAAATATAAAATGTAAGAACACGCCATGTAAAAGTTTTGTTAGGCTCTTGATTGATTAGGAAGGTAGAATAGAGTACAAAGTGAAAATGAAAGAGTAATGAATGGACGTGTGCGGAAAGTGTTAATGCCACTCTAACCTGCAACCATATATATATATATATATATATATATATATATATATATATATATATATATATATATATATATATATATATATATATATATATATGCAACATGCCAAGTGCTCTCAACTGATCACAAAATACACATGTAGACTTTGACATATAAGAAACAACTAAAGTGCTACACATGATAAAAAGATATATTAGAATATTGAACATTTTGATATAGAATACAATACTCCATAAGATGGGTCTTTGACATTAAGATCTTTGTGATAACCCGATATTTTTCAAACCAATGTAACATTCAAAAAGTCAAATATAATGAACTATTTAGAATCAATGAAATCAGCGTAAAAAATGAAGTGTCCTAAAATCTAAATTGGGATGCATAAAGTGTTAGATATCGTGCCAAGGTTTCCAAAAACATAAAGAACACTCAAATCCGAGTTATAACAAAGAAGTTATGACCAATCGAAAATCCACGACACACCTAGTAAAACACTGATACACGTAAAAAGTGAAACTTCAATAAAATACTTTTTAGCCTTAAGCACCTAAACGAAAGTCATAGATTACGTTAAACTGTGAGCATGCATAAAAATAATGTTCAAATCTGGCTTCGTATGAAGAAGTTACGATTTTTGTAAGCTTCGGAACAGCGATACACAGCTAAAAACTCGGAATAAAGATTGAGCGATTTTTAGCCGACGCAACCTAAACAAGAGTTGAAGGTCTCTAAAATAGTAGTACAATGGTAAAAAGACAGATGAAAACGGACATCGAGTAAAGAAGTTATGGATTTTTAACGAAATTATCCTATCCCAGCCTATTTAAAATAAAATATTAAAAATTAAACTCAAAATTAGCCGAAAAAGTCTAAATGAAAGTTGTAGAGTATATTCTCACCTACACGTGGATATAAAAAACATAAAAAATGGAGCTCGTATGCGAAAGTTACGCATTTTTTAAGTTTTTGGCACGCATTACAAAGCTTATCCGAAGGAGTACGCCCAGCGTACGAGATGCATGGACTCGGATCGGCCACGTCACCCCTACCACTCTACGGCCATCCCATCCAAAGACCCGGGACTGTGACGTCATCGTTGACGTACGCCCCGTGTACGAGGTACGCCCCGCGTACTTCGGTGTACACCCAACGTACGAGGCAGTTTTCCTCACCTATAAATACCATGCAAGACCTCCGACTTTCCTTGCCCATTTCTCTCTTCTCTCTCTCACTTTTACTTCCCTTTTAGCATCCCAAGATGACCTCGACACCCCGGTTTCATACCTTAGCCCCGACGAAGGTCCGAAGCCCCAAGATTCCCGAGAATCTCGCCACTTTCCAGTCGAAGTGCCGCTCGAGAAAAAGCTCGTTTTCTTCGAACCGTCACACTTTCCAGGTGAGTTCATACCCCTACTTTCTTTTCACGTCTTTTCATGTTTTAGGGGGGAAATACAAGTGCAATACGAGAAAAACTTATCGTTTTATACAGATCCAAATACACCACCTACATTTTTATAAATGTTCAATAACTTCGATAACAACGTTATAATTTACATACAAAGTTAGTATTACATCGAGTTTTTCTCACCAAATGGTACACACTTTCGGAAAAACTATAATGGGTATAGTTTACAAGTTATTCATTACATCTTTACGTAAACATTGTGAAAATGAAATACTTTCATCTACATGAAACATAGACTTTTCTTTTCATAAATCTATTAATACTAAGTGTTGTGAGACATTCAGCTTCAACGTACTCTCAACTACGCATTTCAAGCCCTATATTATAAACCATAATCTCTTGGAGGGAGAGCGTGATA